TTATTATTATTATTATTATTATTATTATTATTATTATTATTATTATTATTATTATTATTATTATTATTATTATTATTATTGTTATTATTATTATCTAAAATTAGAGATTTTTCTGCTCAACGCAGATCGAGACATCAGGCCGCACGTCGATATTTTGGCCGGAATGGGTAAATTACGAATAATGACGATTAATTGAGTTTCAAAATCGAGGGATTATCTAATTCCGTACTAATCCCATGTATTTTATCATTTTGTGCCGAGGATCGTTTTAATCGTTTTAGGAATTGCGGGCCATATTTTTTACTACTGAAATAATATATCGTCGGAACCGCCAAGCAATAGCCTATTTATTTATCTTAATCAGAAAAGAAAAATAATGTTTACGCTTTCTAGGAACGCTATTTGTCTCTTCGGAGTTTTCATAGAAATTTTATTTCCCTCCAATCTTTTTTATATCATCCACGAGTGGAAAGTAAATTCAGCATCTCCCAATTAATATTAATCTGTAATTAAGGTTTGGATGCACTACAAGGGGGATGTGAATTTTCGTAAGTGTTCCAATCCCTGAACCCTAAAATCCGAGTTTTCAGGTACGATTTAGCGACTATTTCTTATTCGAATTAAAAGTTTTTAATTTCGAATTTTTCATACGGTTCTGCAATAGATTAAAGAATCTTAAAAAATAAATATCACCAGTCTCTTTCATTCTTGGGCAAGCATAAGAACATCATCAAATAGTTCTTAATCAATTAATTTATCTTCCCAGTTGAACTGTGCGTAAACAATTTGATATGTTATTCGAGGCACCTTTACGCATCTATTGATATAATTTCCGGGGCAGCTGAATTAATTAAGGATCAAAGGCTAAATCAACTGAAAAATGTCTTTCTCTATTTCCGAATTGTAGTTTCAACTTATCGGCATGAGAAAACTACTTTGTTGGCGGCGTTAATGCGCCTTTAAAAGTTGACACTGGCCCGATTGATTTAATAAATTTTTAAATACTGCTTAGTCATTCTGCAGACTTGAACGGTAGGTATTAGCAACAATTTTTTCATACGCACACAGAAAATAACCTGACCAAGCCCCTCTTTTCTTCCTTCGCAAACATCATTACGTGAAAACAATGTGACTGTTACTATGCTGATTATCGCTGAGCTACTGCACCGAAAGAATGATAAGGTATGTAGTGATAAACGCGCTTTCCTTGACGATAGAATCCTATTACAGTTCCATGCAAATCTTGAGGCATCGATCACACGAATGCTAATAACTATCAAGGAAATCGGTTGTATAACTGAATTGAAAAATGACGAGAAAGATTGGAGTTGCATCTCGACTGAAGGTTCAACTGAGAAGTTCAACCGCTAATACTGTGAGTCATAAATAGACAATCTGTCTGTCAACGTTTTCCCTTATTATTTTTATTTACCTTATCTATTTCAAGGTCATTAATTCGAAAGACAACTGTACCGAATTTCTGCTACAAAGTAATGTTTCGGAAGAGGAGAAGCAAATGAGACGGATTCTTACGATCACCGAGGCTCCGGAATTTCTCACACATAATCCTTACATTTTGAATGGGTACAGGAGTTGTAGAACTAATAAATTATGTGTAGAAAGGTTGGTCTATAGAAAATTAAGATCGTTAATATTGACATTATTCTATTATCAAAATGGAATTATTTTATTTACTAAGAGACAAGAAATCGAGTTGAGAGCAATTCCATTAAGCGCGCGGAAATAGCCAATTTTTACGATTTTTTGAAAGGTCATCAAATGTATGGACGATTGAAAGCTTTAATGAGACAGTATTATATATTCAAATTGTTGAAAATTTTTTTTTAATGAATAAAATGAAATTACGGTTTCTTCAAGGATTCCTGTAGCGATGTTTTAGATAGACTGAGAAGTACTGCATTCGTCACGGTTTTTCTGATAATATTAAACAAAAATCGCTACAATTAGTAAAACGTACAGTCAATGCATAAACCGGAAATTAATTGTTTAACAGACTTTTCAAAAATATTCTTCAATTTTTTATCGTTTTTTGGTTGATTTTTGCACGAAAAAAAAGTGATTCTTCTGATAATAATGTTGACTAACTTCTCCGGAAATTTCATGGAAATTTACCAAGAAGTTTTCCAACAGGCACTTCAGCATTTTGAATTTTTCGGTCGGTCAGGTACACTCTGAATATATCATACGTCCAGAATAGAAAAACGAAAAAAAATTTTTTGACAATTCCAAAAAGATTGCCCTCTTCAAAATCATTAATCTTAATTACATTTGGAATTTGAATTAAAAAAAAATCACAATATTTTGGAGTTAATATGTAAACAATGAAAATTTTTCTAGCGCCTTTTGGTGGACCAACGAAACAATAAACATCTGGAGTCACGTGATTGGCTTCTTCTGGTTCTTCGGTTTAACGTTCCATGACCTTCACTTTCTCGACCTATCAAGTACAGATAAAGCAGTCATAATATTCGCGAGTGTAATTTTCCAGGTAGACTATGAATCTCTGCGATTGTAGAATAATTTTCATTGATATTGATTTATTTCCTTGCAGATTGGTCTGATTACTTCGGCAATTTATCACACCTTTTCCTGCAGAAGTGACACAATCTACAACACTCTCCTAGCAATTGACATGCTGGGTATTTCCTTATGTTTATTAGCTATTTATCTAACAGGAGTTCATTTCGCTTTTTCGTGTTATGAGGTAAATTATTCAAACAACCCCGTGTGAACATTTCTTCTGATTTAATTATGACTCATTTAATTTGTATGTTCAATTCCAGAATCATCGATTCTTCTACATCTCCACTGTAGTCTTAATTTTCATAATTGCAGTTGTAATGCAAATTCCAAAATACAACTTCAGCTCGAACGTAAAAATATCAGTGCTTTTTGCTTGGGCAGCTTATGGAGTTATACCTACAATTCATGGTATAATAGTTATGGGGATACAGCACCCTATGATACAGCAACTATTCCCCAGGATAATCGGCATGTATGCCATAACTTCATTCGCATTTTTCCTCTTGGAGACTAAAATACCTGAACGCTTCTTTCCAGGTAATTACATTTTTGCTTCCGAATGGAAGAATTGTAATCGTTCTATTTTTCGATTTCTTAATTTTGCTTGGAAACGATGTAGAATGGTCTGAAACGTAAAAATACGAAGTTTGACCACCCCGTGTGTATGGGCGGATGTCCATCTGGTTTATTTTGAAAATTGTAGAATTAACCGGCCCAAAAAATTCAGAAAAATTCGTCATTTTGTCGAATCATAGGTATTGATGACAACTAACTCTGTGCCAAATTTCAGCCCAATCGATCCAGTCGTTTTTGAGAAATTCTCATTCGTTTGTAGATTTAATTAGTGGAATATCTCAAAAACTATCCAACCGATATTATTCTTTTTCAAAATATTCGTCAAGATGTCAGCTATAACAAGCAATCATAATATATACGAGATCTACTGCGCACTCCGTGCGCTGAATTTGAATTTTGACTTCGGATTCGAGTTGACCAATAGGGAATCAGCCTTACGAGTTTCGACTCAGGCGAACTTCATTTACCTATCTCTGCTTTCATGATAAGGATACCGGTTAGTTCAAATTTTTCGAAATATTTCAATTTTTCTGCTTTTTCTTCTTATCCCATACTCTAATTTCAAATCAGTAATCAAGAAAACTACAGCTTTTCTTTTAAAAAGATTTTTTAAAGACGTTTTTAAGAAGACTGATTTTTAAATTATCCGTTCCATTTTCTTAAATAGCAGTGATATAAATATGGCGATCCATATGAAAAAGTTCCTCGTGTGCACTTCTGGTTTCCGGCATATCTATCTTTCATTATTTATGTTGGAATTATAATTCTGTTTCTGCATGGAAACATTGAAACGGTTCAATTTTAAGTGTACAATTTTTCATGTTTCGATGGCTAACTCTGGGCGTGAGAGTCGTCTGATTGGCTATGGAATTACCATCGAACTAATCAATCACATATTTACAAAACCGAAATAAAAAGTGCAAAGAAGTTATGAAATTATTCAGTACTTCATGTGATATGTTATTGTTCATACCGCTTTGATGAACAATAGTGAATATTCCAAGCTGTCAAGGTGTAAAAAATGTGTGCAACAATTTGCAAACTTTATTTACGTAAGTATTTATTTAAGAAATCCTCATCGGTATTTTTTCGAATTCATCTTGCTCGAATTTCTTCTCAATTCTTTATAGAGGAAAATGGAGATGGAGTACCAGAACTCGAGGTGTTGAATAAGCGCAGGAAAGACATCAACGAAGAATTTGAAGTGGAAGTACAGGTAATGGAGGGAGATTTCGATACTGAATCCCCATTGCAATCCTATCGCTCTATAGAGATCTTTGATGACGAGTCTGCAACCACTGAATCACTAAAAAAAATGCTGGAATCGATGGGGCACTTGGTTTGAGTCCAGTGAAACGATAAAAGTTACTGGCCAAATTATAAAACTAGTTTGCAATCTTCAAATTTCATTTAAAATTTAAAGTGATGATAACGAGAATAAATATCGTATAGATGATTTTCGAGAATTCATTCAACATTTTTTTTCCTACAGGCGGGAGTCGAAGAAGTATTCCCCCAGGACTGAGTTTGAAGACCTACAGTAGCTGTGAGAGATGGACGAAAATATCTGTCATGAAATGAGAATTCACCGTTTGCAACGAATTTATCTCTCATCACGTCGGTCGATTTCACCGTAACTATTAATATCCATTACCTAGTTTGACGTCTTGTATAGAAAATATTTTTTATTTCTGTTGAGTTCCATGTAATTAATATATCATGAATAGATGCCTTTCAGTTTTCGTCTTTATGATTTTTGCCTTCAATTTTTTGCTCCACCTTATGATTGTAAAAGCGTATGTTTTTGAATATTGTTTCTCTGGTAAAAAAATTACAGCTTTTTGAAACAAAATTTAAAAACGCAAGAAAGTTTGGGTGACAAGATGAAATGAACGATTTTTGCGTTAGAACCACATTTTTAGATAAAAAGAATTGAGAAGAAATCCTAGTGCAAATCGGAAATTGTATGGTTCTCGAAAAATAATCGAGTTAGATACCTGAAATCAGAGTCATATCTAACAAAATTCAAGAACATACCGGAAATCGGGAAATATCAAACCATCGCGCTATATAACTGAAGAGTTTTCTGTGAAATTATCTCCGGAATTACCTATTTTTCTCATTAATAATCTACAGAAAGCTATTAATTAATTAATTTTTGTTTTTTCCTCAATAGGCTATGTTGATTACGTCGGGTCCTCTCATCAATGGTGGCATTTGTTGATCGTCTTTGCGTTCTTTTATTGGCGCAACACTGGTCTACTTTATATTGAATATATAAATAAGTATGGATGTATAATCCTTCCGTAATACTGTGATGAATAAACGTATTTTGAAGTTGATGTATTTTATTTCGTATGACGGAGTACCGTACGTGTCATATGGAAAACATCGGACGATGTGAGTATTCCGGGGTAGTTGAGGCATTCTGGCATTCTGGTCATTTTGCTCTGAAAAGATAACGCCAATTGAAAGAGAATATCCTTGTGGGGTTGCCTTAGTAAGTGAAATTCAGGAAAGGAGATGTTCGAGGTGCCGAAAGTGGGGCTGGAGCTTTTGTCCAAGATCTTCAAATCCACGCCTGCCAAGTATTCCAAAAGGGCTGTTCCTCTGGTATTACTCTTACTGCTCTTCCATGCCATATACTGCGAGTTTGTATCACAACCTATGCAAGCCTATGATAAGCGATTTTTCGGCTCTTCTGACTTGCAGTACCTGACAAGTTTTTGCGGAGTCATGCGAGGGATTAACTGAACAGAAGACGACGTTCTCGATCAGTCCCCCTGGACGCGGCTCGGGTAAAATTGACGTCCGAGCTTAAATGGACATCATAAAAATTCAGACGCTTTTCACGAATATCTGAATCTAGGAGACATCGGAGAATCTTTATAAGAACCTTTCTTGTAGGACAAAATGAGACTTACAAAAAATCTTGTATGAAAATTTCGCTATCTATCATCACCTCAGTTATATTCAATGAAAACTCATTTGATACATCATCTCAATGTTGCATCATTGATCTGCAAATGAAATCGTAACAACAATCCACATTCATCTCATGGCATTATTCCAAACTGAAAAATTCTTTAAAAAAATAATTAGCATTTTATCTCATTCTATTACGCAAAGTTTATCATTACAATCTTTACAATAATGAGAAATAGTCTTATTCAAAAATTATTGCAGCAATGTTACTCAACAAATTTCATCAGACATAACCTCCAAGCGGTCAGAATCTTCAAAGAGAAGGAATCTCCGGATGCAAGGGTAATGTATCACGGCATAGATACTTATTTTCATTTCAATAAAATACCTGATCCCTCATGAAATCTTATATAATTCATTTTAAGGTTTGTCTTTACCTCAAAAGCAATTAAGTGCAGTGTGTGCATGCATGCGCAGTATTGAATGTGATGGCCAATAACGAACAGGAACAATCGATTCTCGACTTGGAAGTTAAATTGAAAGAGTTAAATCATAATTAATTTCGAGTTAGCTAATTAATAATGCATGTACAAACCATTTCCTATCGAATTACCAACCTCTCCTTTTCAATTGACCCGTTAATTTCATGTAGACCGGCATCATATAGAAATTGATTAATTATTATCAATTAATGAGTGAATGTACAAACCAAAATTTCCATATTACAATCATGTACTAACGACGTAAAATCCAGTAAATTACTATCCTAATCATCGTACCTTGTCAGTTAAATATCTGAAGGTCACCTTGTCGGCGAAATATCTGGAGATGTCAACTACTGAAATTCCTGGTGGAAATTTAACCCTCAAACCCTATGTTTCTGCACTTGTCCCGCCATCTTGTGACTCGAACTGAAGTTTCAGGATCTTTAAATATCACAATCTTGCGAGTATTCATGCCACCTGACAATTCCCTGGTTGTGACGTTCACTCGTGTCATGGCCCCGTCGCATCAGCGTCTCCACAATCCGTGAAACTTTCAGTGGATAAACCAAGTACCCGGATATACATTTTTTTTTTCTCTCCACAGCAAGTGTATCAACTTGGTGGTAAAGAAAATCAACCGAAGTTTGTGATCAAGTAATATCACCCGACATGACGTCTCGCTTCGAGAAGGAGCGTGCGAAGCAGATTCAGGATAAATGTCAGGATCTCCTGACGCAAATGTTAAGGGATGAGGACAATAAGTACTGTGTCGACTGCGATGCCAAAGGTTTGTTCTAGCTGACGTAGCACCAAGTGTTCACCACTTGTTCATCTCTGTCTGATAACAATCATTCAGACGTAGACTTATCTGTCTTCTCTCCTGACATTGAATCACTCATCAAGTTTAATATGCCTTAGATTCAATCGATTTACCACGACCTAGTTTTGTCTTCCTGGATTAGTCTCTCCTTCATGGATTTTTTATTTCATACTAAGGGGTGACTGACAGCGATCACAAGTCAACGTCATATACAACTCCGATGGCATTCCTACATTTACAAGATTATTTTATCAATTCAATTCAATTTTCAATCATTCATTTCTCATCTTCATTTCATTAGGAAAATATTCACGTTCGATTTATGAAGAAATGCAGTTTCATTTTAATTTTAATATCTTCCGTTTTATATTTTCTTTATCAATTAATTTTTTTTAATACTTTTAGGGCCAAGATGGGCGAGCTGGAACCTGGGGATATTTCTCTGTATCCGTTGTGCAGGGATCCACAGAAATTTGGGCGTTCACATCAGCAAAGTCAAATCTGTTAATCTAGACACTTGGACACCGGAGCAAGTTGTGGTATTTATATAATCCCCTGTTTCATAATTATTTTAATGCAATAGGTATCATCCCTCAGTTATTATACCAGATAATTGAAGATATTAGCACAGATCAGTAGATGCTCCCACGTGCGGTTTAATATTTCTTCGAGATATTAAAAAATCAAGGGGAAGGGATAGGACAGCTGTTTTCCTGATGACTCATTGGGGAACTCGTCTTATCACCAATTGTCCGATGGAAAACCACACGTTCCGCACTTACAGAAACAAATTGTTTATCATAAACGATAAACCATCATGGCAATGTGTTTCACGATTCCGAATGCCCTGATGATTTTACAGAGAATTATTGAACACTTGAATTAATTACAGATTATTAAATGATTAATTCTCCGCTCTCGGTTATGCCAAAAATATTCATCAATTAAAATCCTACTTAAATTCTTGAAGAAGCTTTGAATTTTAATTCCTCTTCGACTGAATGAATTATATAAATTCCATAGTAATTGAATAAATTTTTCCTCTTCCCCACAGAGTCTCCAACAAATGGGAAATTCCCGAGCCCGTGCTGTGTACGAAGCCAACCTCCCTGACACATTTCGCCGTCCCCAGACAGATTGCAGCCTTGAGAGTTTCATTCGTGCCAAATATGAGCATAAAAAGTACATAGCCCGAGAGTGGGTGCCTCCAACCCTTCCTAAAGTCAATTGGGATAAGGAGCTTGATGAGGAGGCAGAGAGACAGCGCAGACGAAAGAAGGAAGGTAATAAATCCAGTAACATCCAGAGCACTCTCCCACCAGTGAAAAAGCCTGAAGTAGTTCCCCAACTGCCAAAGCCCCGCAGTTCAGTGAGTCCAAAGCCATCGAGAGCTACCAACAATGGTGGGGCTACCCTGGACCTCCTGGGGTTGGATGGACCCACGAATCAGACAAGCACAAATGGCTCTGGCTCTGGGGACGACATATTCTCCTCTTTTCTCTCAGCTGCACCCACAGCATCATCCGCACCAACATCAACCTCAACGAATATCACCACCGAATCATCGACTGCTAGTAAAGCTGATGAGGATAGTTTCTTCAATCAACCAGCGCCCACCACTCAGGAAAAAAGTAAAATGACTAAAGACAGTATTCTCGCACTTTATGGGACACCGAGTCAGCAGTCAGTATTTGGTGTTGCAAGTGGTATTTTCAATCAACAGGCAATACCTCAGTACACACAACCTTTACAAAATGTGGGAAATTTTGGACAGATTAATCATGTCCCTGGACAAATGCAGATTAATAGCAGTCAGATGAATGTTAATGGCATTGGGATTAATCCTCTTGGAGGAAGCCTGCAGATGGGGGGTATCAATCAGATCAATGGCATTGGAAATCATGGAAATCATGGAGTTGGCATGCAGACACAAACGGTGAGTTTTTCGAGTTCTCAAGGTTTTTTTGTTTATTAGGTTTTATATACTTCTTTTTTGAGGACTAATGGATTTTTCCGTTGAGAGCAGAGTGTTGTGACACCTGTAGGAGCGCAGATGATGCAGATAGGACAGCCTCCAGCATCCACCAATAATGGTTGGAATGGAATGCTTGCTCAGAATATTCAACCCGCGCCAGGGAGCAATCCCTTCTTTAATTTAGCTGCTCAGGCTCCAGTCAGCAATGCCTTTATGACGCAGGTGAAATGATTTTTTAAAATAAACTTTAAACCACTTTAAATATTGTAGTTCAGCTTTGGGAAAACAATTTAAAAAATATTTCGTACATACGAGAATCGAAGAAGTGTAGAATTGAATCTTTACATAATATCCTCGAATATTAGAATTAGAGAAAGAAAAATAACAGAATTTCTGTGAAATTTGTTTTATTTGTTGAGAAGTTTTCATATTGTGTGGAAACTTATGATTCATTTATTCACACTCATGTAGAGTGATTCTTTTATTTGGATTGATTAAATTCATATGAGAATAGACGTGAAAGGAAAGTTTCGGTCAATTGTGCAGAGATATTAATTCAATGCCACATTAGATGCGACTACATACAACCCATTGAATTCAATACAACTGGTTTAAATAAAATTTATGTTAAAAAATTTCTCATTAACTTCAAAGCCTATTTTCTCTTGAATGGATTACGTTATTACTTCATTGATTCTTCATTGATTCTTGGGATTTTCATGATAATATGAACCATAAATGTCATCTGAAAATAATTTTCTACTCAGTAATTCTTTTAACACTCGAAATAAATTCCAATGAAGCGAGTAACGAAAAAGGAGAATCCTATCAACTGCGACGAAATTCGATTATAGCATTCTAATACTCGGGACTAATTGACTTCCTTTAATGATACATTTCAGTTGCCCCAGCAGATGTCTCAAATGTCCTTGGGGGGACTGGGGAAACCAGCACCTGCTGCACTTCCTGGTCAAACGTTGTCGAGCAATTTGTGGCAGTAACGACGTGTATGACTGGTAGCTAGATATTGATTATTTTTTTCACCTTTACGCCCATTCGATCTTATCTGTGTTAAAGGTGAAGAGAAAGATGATGAATTATCAATTGTGTGTCCGGTTCATTGAAATTGTCAGGTGCGCACTGTTCTGCTCGTGAAAGTCGTCTTGACCCGTCACCTTTTAATCAAAAAATTATCCTTCGTTGAACGAGAATTGTGGAAAGACATGTTCAGGAACGAACTTCCATATATTTGTGAATTGTAAAATAAAAATTATGAAGATTAGTTTAGTGGTGAAGCGATAAAATGTGATCTCACAGGGGAGACAAGGAATTTTTCACTTTAATTAATCCTGACGTATCTCCGTGATGAGGGGTTCTAGAGAGAAAAATATGGCCTTCTAATTTTTCTCCTAAACTCATTCATTCTCGAGTTCGCTGCAAAATCAAAAAAAAATTCATCTTTGTATTTTGTATCAGTTGACAACTAAATTAATTCCTATTTCTACAGATTACTCTGCTAATGCCTCCAAAATTATGACGTTTGATTGGGAGGGGTTTTATTTATGGACAGGAAATTTCTCGTGAAATATTTTTTACGAATTTCTCCGGTTCTCGCCTGCGTAGATATTTGCAAAATAATCTGCAGGTTTCTTTTAGAACTGTCTGATTTTTCTATTTACCCACTGAAATTCATGTTGTAAACATAAACAATTCGTACGTGATGAATATTTTGTCAGAACTGAATAAAAAGAATTCAAATTGATGGGAAAATAATGTCATCTCATGATATTATCCACAACACAATCACCATTATATTTGACAATTGTAAATACTATAATCTTATAGATAACAATTGCAATGCATATTTTATTACTTGCAAAGGAAAAAAATGAGAAATAAAATTACCGTGTCAAGATAATTCGCCTTATTGCAGATGAAGAGAATTATTATTGAAAACAGTTATTATTGTTCTAATATCGAAAGTATTCGATTTGCTCGAAATATTTTACCTGAGGATGTCAGGGGTATTCCATGGACTGTTAAAAAATTTAATTTATTTACTGGTAGAGAACAATATAAAAGTCATTTCAATGCGATCTATTCTTGAAAAACAACGAGATTAATTCCCCAATATTTCGAAAATTTGTTCGGTTTGTATAGATATCACTTGAACTTGACTGAAGCCAATTGATCCGAGGAAAATTACTTGGCAATGATCTCTGGCAAGTTTAACATTAATACTCTTTCATGTGCTTCAGCAATAAATTGTCGAGTTGGAAATCGTGCGCTATGTGTAACTCTGTTGGAAGCTGTGGTTGTTCTGTTTTGGAAATTGAACCCATTTTTGTTTGACGGATACTCCTTGGGATAATCCATGGAACCATTAAAAAAACATCACAAAGATTGACGGAACATGAAGTGATTAAGCACGTTATCAAGTAGAATTTTTATTAACTAATTATCTCGGAGGTGAAGAGTCGTCAGAGAAAAAATGTCGAGAAAGTTCTTCAAGTTATTTCGTGATGTGTAGGAGCTCATTATGAAGATTATTAAATACCACAATTAATAGAACTGGTAAATCACTTCCCGTCTCCACGCGAAGAAATTAATTTCGTAACCGTCCAATGAAATTTTTTATTTTAAACATACGCAACTCGACAATAAGTCTTACTCTCCTCCTGAATTATCGACTTGTTCTACTGGGACGCCTAATTGTTAAAAATCGTAAATAATTAAAGTATTGTAATCGGCCTGTTGTTAGTGCCGGAGTTTAAATAAAGATCATGTTTTGATCGCAGAGTACGTAATTATTGTCTGTCAATCGAAAACTAGTCTCGACCGTTGCGGCAATTGGAACTTATTCTCTCTCCCACTATTGATCCCAATTGTCGCTGGAAGTTGATTGATCGGTCGTAGAGGACGATTGATGGATGTAGAGGAGTCTATTGACTTTAATTTTTAATGAAAGGTAATGGGTGAATCTATGTGGATGAGTGAGAGTGTGCATTGGAGGGAGAAAAATATTGGAAAATTATTGGTTCAGAAAAAAGCTCTTGGAGATACATCATCTCGAAAATTTCAAACGGATTATTTTGCGAATTCATTAATGAATGGCGTCAATGATTTCAATAAAAAAAATCTGTTTCAAACGATTCTTATCGTAATGGACATGGAATTTTTTTAATTTGTCTCCTATTCTTCGTTACGTCACTGTGAATGAAGGGAATTATTCCCATAATTTGAATAATTGGAATTTCTAAAGTCGGGATCGAATCGAATCGAATCGAATTGAATCGAATCGAATCGAATCGAATCAAATCGAGTCGAATCGAATAAAATCGAATCGAAAGTAAATGAAAATTTTAAAGTTGTCGTTTTTTACTGATGAACGACTGGCAATTAAATTGTTTACCGATTATGAACGAAATGTTAGATAAATGAAATTGTCGTAATTACAATTGTATTAATCTTTAGTCATACAAGAAAACGAACTTAAGTACCATTGGTAATTGTTGTAGTTACTATTATTACTGTAGCGTGTAATAGGTCCACGTGTTTTTTTTCTACGAATTACTATTATTTTATTACTTCTCACAAATTGGACTGAGATGAGGAGGTGATAGCAGTACTATTATGCATAATACATTCGTTGAACGTCAATCGAATTAATTTTTTAGGGTTTATTCCATAAAATAATGTATACATCAGCGAGATATTGGCGAATTCATGAGCCAATACCGATGACTGTAAATGCGTGGATGTATAAAGAGCATGATGATATGGAAATAAACATTGAATAAATATTTCTCTTTTTTTTTGTAGAAAATTTCCTCAAAGATAATCTTGATATTCATTTTTCAAAAAAAACTGATCTTTCTTTTTTGTTCACACAGATGCAAAACGAAGAAAATTGGATAATGAACTATTAATATTATTTAATATTCATAAAAGATTCTTATGAAAATGTGATATTCTATACTAAAATTGATTTTAATGACTGATTAATGACTGAGATTAATCAATACTGATTTAGTGAATATAAAATTCACATGACAGCCTTTAATTTGACTCTCCCCGCGTGGCAAATCCGCCAATCACACTGACCGGAAGTCGCCATTTTGAATGTACCATTGACAACACTTGATTAAAGTGGTGATCTGTCTCTTTCGCTTCCTCGTTGCGTTGCTGAACGGTTGCACAAAGCCACGTGCATCTTCAAAATAAAATGGATAAACCAGTTGTTCTCGCAAGAGTGATCAAAGTCCTGGGTCGTACAGGCTCCCAAGGACAATGTACACAAGTTAAAGTTGAGTTCCTGGGTGAGCAGAACCGCCAGATCATCAGGAATGTCAAGGGGCCGGTTCGTGAGGGCGACCTCCTAACCTTACTCGAGTCTGAGCGTGAGGCCAGGAGACTGCGATGAAGAACTTCAATCTCCAATACCTACGTAAGAAGAAAATTGGCACCAGCTGCATTCCTGGATTTATTCGCTGATTGTTCGTAACGAGAGCACGACATTTTGTTCAAATAACGCCGAGGGTAGCAGCACGATTTGGAATACCTCTTCGTCATCGTGTCACTCCACCGATGTTTAACACCAAGTTATGTTAATAAATCACAGCTGGTAACCACAAATTTTTCATCTTTTGCTTCATTTCATCGTCCTCACCTAGTTCTCTGAGCCATTGTTTGTTTATTTTAATCATTCAGAGCTTATATGATACAATTCAACTTGTTTTCTTGTTGAGTCCTAAAGAAACATTTCAGCGACTATTCTCCGAAAGTCTACACAACAAATAGAAATCCCACAATTTTCATATGAATTCACTCTTAAAATAATTAGATAATCATGAAAAATGAAAATGGTATCCTCAGACTCGGAAATGATACGTAAAAAAATAACCCAAAGTTTCTAAACTTTTTACGATTTTTATTCAACTCCAAAAATCACCAACTGCTCATTAATAAAAAATGAATTTACAAATAATAGAATAATTGTCAGCCCTACGAATACTTTCTACATTCTCTGAGATGTCTGACGATAATAACTACATAAGGTTTTTTTGTACGAAAAAAAAACGATTGGTTTATTTACATTACACCGAAGTCCTCTGAATTGAAAATGAAAATGAAATGTTGCACTAAATTTTCACTGGCAGTTAATCTACTTCGCTGCTCAAGAAGATTATAAAATCAAGCTGATCTTAGACTCATGAAAAGAGAAAATGCGAATAATGTGAGATAATCTGCCATGAGGCAGGCCAACGAGTGAAGGGTTTATATTCTCCGACGTTTTGGGGGTGGGGTATCACGAGGACTAGAGGATGCTTTACTGGCATTATCGATACTTTGTCTGGTTGGTCTTTTCGGTACTCTCTTCGGAATTTCTCTGCTGGTATCTGAGTCCTTTCGTTCCTTCTTCACTGGGAGAACTGTTGAACAGACAAATTATTAATCAATCATGAAACTACAACAAAGTCATCAGAAAACTAAGAGGAATCAAATAATCTGGATTCCTCATTACATGATGAAAGGTAAGTGAAAAATTTCGATTACTGTAGTAATTAGAGAAATTAATTGATTAATTCACCTGGCAGGGGCTCTTCTCCCTCGTCCTTCCCTTTGCCACGACCTTTAGGGGTTTTGTTATCCTTCTTGACATCCTTCGTGTCCCTCAGCTTCTCCTTCTTCACCTCTGGCTCCTTCACAACCTTTTTAACGTCCTCCTTCTTCTTGTCAACTTCCTTTGGAGTTTTCTGTTCCCTCGTCACAATTTCTTTCTTTGGAGTTTCCTTCACCTCCTTCTCCTTCTTCGTCTCCTTCACTTTCTCCTTGAGATCCTTGGACTTTACGTCAGTCTCCTCCTTCTGTTTATTTTTTATAAGCTCCAGGAATTCGGATTCGGGAAGGGCGAAGTCTACTTCGCTGCTAGGAAATGGCAGATCTTCTGTGTCATCCTGCATAAAAAAAATTGAATGGAAATCAATAATTCGAGGAATTAATGAAGAGATGGTTTAGGATGCACTTACCAATGCCACCAAATCGTACATCGTCTCCAGGTGATCCCAGATGGTTTTGAATGATACATCTTTGTTAATGGCTGCACGAAATTTCTCCCAGATACAGACCATGTGAAAATACTTGTTGACACCTATTTTTCATGGACAGATCATTAAAAAATACGGAAAGTACTGAGAGGAGTTAATAACATAACCTGAACAACCGGTGATAAGAGTTTTTTGGAGTGTTGGGGGTTAAATAATTGGGATTTCATACCAACTGGCTTGTGCCCATTCATCGCGAAGAACAGTTGCACCTCATTCTCGACATTCCAGTCAATTTCCTCGGTGGAATCCCCTTGTTTTTCCTTGACAGCCATCGGATCGAGGGCTTCTTGCATCAAAATATAGGTAAATACACAGATAAAATCAGATTATAGGGGGGTTCAACAGCGAAATTATCGAGCGGTGGCTGCGGAACTAAATCAGAGGCTGTACCTGTCGATAAGACAGGGCACAAGGTTGAGAGGTCTCTAGATAGGGTGGGAGATAAAACGGGAAGTCTTCATCGGCGGAAAATAACTAGAGAACATTGAAGTGTCCAGTGATCTACAAGTAATTCATTCTGCTGTAAAAATTCATTTTTTCTCTACTAATTAAGGCCCGGATGGAGGGAATTTTTTCGCGATTGACAACTTTACGCCTTCCTACTCCGCGGACAAAACCCGAACCTTGATCTCAAGCGATGCCTTGTCGCTAACTACGGCAATCGCTGGAAACAAGGGCAACATCAGACAGTG